CAAACATAAGTTAACAACGCGCCGCATTCGCAGAATACTAATTTAACTTTTTCGCTTATGAAATGTGTGTGTGAATATTTATTCCTATATTCATATCTTACATACACTCATACATACATATAAATATATATATATATATATATATATATATTTCTGTGTAATATTTTTATGTATATCTATCAAGTACGTGAAAAATTTTATATACTTTGAAGACGAAAAAGCTCAGCAACTCGGGATGTAAATAGCATTCCAGGCGACGCTTTTCACGAAGTTATAAAATTATAAGATGTTGTATGTACACAGAGAATAAAAAAATACGATGGATGAAATTAAATTTTCCCGAATATAAATCATCACTTTTACAAGGTCACCGGGCATGATTTGATAATCATATTGTAAACAGGTTTAAGAGTAGGTAGTACATGTTTTAAATTAAATGATTTTATTATTCATTTATAGGTATTGGTGATTTCATACGAAATTATATTACTTTATACATAAAATTCTTCTTGAATATTGAATTTCATTTTAATATTTTCAAAATGAACTCTATAATTTAGAAATCAATATTATAGGTATTCAAATACTCAATTTCATGTGTATTTTTTGATCAAGAGATTTCATTTCAGAAGAAGTTTTCTGATTATCTCTGTTTTTCTAAAGAATAACACACTTGTTTATGAAGTTGTAATATGAACCAAATTTCCTTTATTTTTACCCTACCTATATTTGGTGTTTTACAAATTTAAAAAAAACACACAAAAATAGACTTTTTATCAAAGAAGATACTACTTGAAATAAATTATTATCCAAAGCTTCAATACGAACTTTTAATCAAATTTTATTTTTTGTCTAAAGTAAACCAAAAACCAAACCCAAACCTCGTTGATCAAAAATCTCAGGAAATCATTATAAAAAAATGTCTATCTACATTTTGATTTCAATCAATGTATAAGTTCTGCTTTCGACAGTTTATCAAAGGGTTCACTTTACTATGAAATTTCATGGAACCGAAATGTGTCATTATTTTCATTCACTTCGATGAATTCACACAACTAGTGAACATATATTATTATACTAGTTACAATATATCAAGATTGTGACTTGCTGCAATACATTTTCATAAGCTCAGAGTTACTCTGCAAACTTAAATTATAAAGTGTTTGGATGGAATTTAATAGAAAATTTTACTAAGATGTTTGATAAGATGTAAAACTTTTCCAAATACAGTATTTGATTAATGCAAATATGCAATGTGGTAGTAGAGTACACATGTTCTTATTTAGATGAATATTGTAGAATAACAAGGCCTATAAAATTTTTAGGATGTTTTCAGTTTTTTTTCAAAAAAAATTTTTGATGTGTTATAATAATGTAGGTGATAAGTTAGAACTACCTAGCTGCACATGCAACCACATTGCATTCTGACAGTTTTTAGTACCATTTTATATGAAAAACGCCGAACAATATAGCCTTGCCATAACATTGGTTTATTTTAGGGCAGAATTGGTCTACATAAATATAGAAAATAACTATTCTCAAACCAAAATAACCGATTCATGATTATAATAAAAAATATTTATATGTACAGAATTTTAATGTAAATATGTAGCAACGTTTACAGAACTTTTATGAATTCAGTATCCTGGCTGTTCATGCAGTTTCTCATTCATGCGATTTTGCGTAGAATAATATCAACCGGTTAATTATATCAGAAACAATTTTGTATATAATAAGTTGAGCTTATTGTTTTCATCGTTGGTCAGCCAACTCCGGGGGCCGAGTTTGTTAATTGTTTGCTCCGGATTGGCATTTCAGGACTTGTGCTTCTGATGTTTTTGTAATGGAAGTGTTATTGCAGCTTGTTAGTGAGACGTGACGTTAGATTTTGTTACGGGACGCCGACGGGAAAACAAATCGGTTTCCTCCACTTTTAATCAAATAACTTCTTTCACAGGTTTGCGCATGAATGGAGAAATATGAGTGGAGTATTTTTGCCGTTTGAAAAATTTCAATTTGAAATATTAAATTAAAAACTAGAGATAAACGATTGCATTTGTCTTTGCCATCGTTCGGATATTATGTATGGGTTGAAATATTATAAGATCTCTGGGTTATGTAATTACTATCATCTGTCGTGAAAAGGTAACCTGAAAATGCAATAGCTTTACCCAATGATTAAAGCAGTGCTCTTCTAAATCATTTTTAACATGGAAATTTAACAAAACGATAGCATATTATTATGTAACTCGTATGTTGTTATATTGTGTCAATATAAAATATTTAACACGCTCGCGGGCATAAAAAGTTTGAGCAAGGTGCAAAATTTGACAGTCATTTTATTTTTAAATTAGTTGAGATATCCCAAATTTGAGCAAACATTGTTCATAAAAGTAATCAAATTGTCATATTTTAATTGTTATATACCAGGAATGCTATAGCATTCATACCGAGTATTACACTTTTAATTTATGCAATGTGCTTGGCCAAGCTAATAGAAACTTATAGAATGACTATGCGAAAATAGTTAGTCCTTACCTTAACAGTTATAATAATCACAAAAGTGTAACGTTATATAAAATAAAATAAAATCATCATATTTGTTTTTACAATTCGAATGCTACAGCATTCATGTCATTCTACATCACAATAAAAATAAATTCTATAGCATTCACGTTCGCAAACGTGATTCAATAATATTTTCAACATATAATTTGAATTGGCCATGGTAAATACTTGATCCAGCAACTATTGATTTCACTTTCAATACTCACCTTGGCCAGCTTGATATCAAGTAGTACTGATATCAGATTTTAACTTGAGCTTTTAGATCTTATATATAATATCAAATGGAAATAGTATTTCGGGACGTGGCAGCCAAAAATAATGAAATGAAAAATACACATTAAATTTATATTTTTTTAAAAAATTACAACCATATACTTATATTTTAATAACAAACTTTTAAATAAAACAAGTTTTAAATGTTTTTATATAATACTAAGCAAATAGAAAAAAGTTACTTCAAACTATACATTTTGAAAAATGTGTAAGCACATAGTTCGACATCATTAGTTTTGAAAATTAGTTTATTTTTTGTAATTTTAGAAAAATCCAAGTTTTATTGCATTTAGTCTTTGAGTAGTAAATTTGATTTTTTTTTTATTTTTAACAACATTTTTTGTGATTTTCAAAAAAAATTAGATTTTAAACTTTGCAGCTAAAAGTTAAAAAAGTTAAAAACATTCAAAATATGTCTTATAATCATTTGAGAAAGGGAATTATTTTGAGTAAACCTGATATATATATATATATATATATACATATATATATATATATATATATATATATATATACGATAAAGAGAAAAAAAAAACATAATTCTGTATGTTTTCAATTCAAGTTTGGGGAGTTATGTTTTCGCCAGACTGCATGAAGCAACTCTCGACTGTATGTCAAACAAAATAAATCTTGTTTTCATAATTAACTTTTTATCTTTTGGTTCTTCTTTACAAAGGCGAATGCAATTATTTATATTGTTAGTATGAAATGAGATCACTAACCTTATGTAACTGTTCACGATATCTCAGCAATCAGAACACGTTCTCTTGGCTTCACTAATTACTTTGTAGAGTTTTTAGTTTATTTATACGTCCTGCAGTGAAAAACTACTGAAACTCTACAGTGGAAGTGTTTCTTTGTAGTTTTTCTACTCGACAGTGCTGTGTTTTTCTTAGCTTGGGCGAAGAAGGAAGTTTTAAACTTACACTGAGCATAAATGTTATGAAAATGAATACTTAAATGACTGTGTGCGTTTTGTATAAATTGTATGCTTTTGAATTAAAGAAAACATACTAACTACTTGAAAGAATTCAGGTTTATTGTTTTTCTTCTGAGATATAAAAGACAAATAATAATTGATGATGCTAGACAAGCATCAATTTTTATTTAATCATTTATCATATTTTAGAAACGTGTAAAAATGTTCTGTTATTTCAACTTTATCGTTAACGCAAACTTTAATAAATTTCTTTAAAAATAGTTAATAATGTACATATTAAATATCATTTAAATTAGACGTTTATTTAAAACACACTAATTGACTTAAATAAAAAAATTTACTACAAAACAAAAATATAAAAAAGATTGGTCAAGTTTAACTCAAATGAATTTAAGAAATTTTTACTATGGTCATAATTTTAGGTCTATTTCAAATTATTTAAAATTCAGAAAATTATGAAGTGCAATCTACGTTTTTCCTATTTAGAAATTATGTTTTCTATGATGCGGCCCTGGTAATATATATCAGAGGACGACTTGCACGTGACTTGAATGGTGTAATTGCATAGGTGCAACTTGGTGAAGTAATTTTTACTTCTTATTACAGACTCTACTGTGTTACTTAATTAGCGCAAATATAATTTAACTAAAAATGAAGACATGTTTCAGGTATAATGCTGCAAGCATACGTTTGTTTTAAACAATTCTGAAAACTTTAATAATAATATTTTAACATCTTAATTTGATATTTATTTATTCAATTGTATTTTACATTGGCTTCCTAACAAATTACCTGTTTTGGTGTCCAAATCTTCCTAAAGTATTTATAAAGTTTAATTTACTGATAGATTGTAATTATTGAATAGTATAACATTTTTACATATTTGATAAAATAATTTTGATATGCAATAAAAAGTTTGTTAGTTCACGAAGAATGATTGGCGAAGAAATTTTTATCATTTTTCGTGTTCAACTATAACATTTTACTTATCGTTAGTATTAAGCAAAAAGATATATACCACAAAGAAATTTATTTATTCTACCTTTAACATTAATATTATACACATAATGAATAGTTGAATGTGTTAAATTTTACTATAAGTATATTTACTACAAATTTTGACATTTCACTCTAGTTTCAAAATGATCATCCCTTACATTTTATTTTATTCATAGAAAACCACTCACACAGTTCAAACTTTATTTTAACTGTTCAAATTTCAGCTTTGGTAATAATCATTAGCACCGAGTCTTTTTAACAACGTATTTCTTGGCATCCAATAAGGCGGAGGTGGATCTGATGCCACTGACGTCAGTGGTGAAATCATAACATCTTTTCTTTCATCTTCATCTAGTTCACTTCCATTATCACTAACATATCTTGATGTCCCACCAGCAACTGTTCTTATAGGTGCTTCTGGTTTTGAACTTTTAATTCTTAAACCATCACACGTTTCCTTCATTTCGGTCAATTGTCTTCTAAGACATCTGTATTCATCTAAAAATCTTTCTAACTGTGCAGAATGATAGTCGTATCTTCCTCCAACTAACGCATGATCAGCCCTGGAATTTAGACTGTTTATATTTAATAAAGGAGTTGCGGATGCTGTTGTGGATCGAACAGGTGAACTCGGAAGACTAGGTGGATCGTGAGAACTAACTGGTGATGAAGACAAGTTGAGAAAACTGCTGGAACGTTGATTTGTTGATGATAGTAATCGATTGTTCTGATTTGGAAAATTTCTATATTGATGATACGATGATGCACCGGATTCAGTCATACTGCCACTATTATTGCTGCTATATCTACTATCTTGGAGTAACGGAGATTCACTATCAGACCCTCTGAAAATTCGAAAACATTGGCATTTTATGTATATTAACTTGAATTTTATATAAGTTACCTGTGGTATCTGGAGTTTCCACTTTTCGTTCCCCTCTTCCTTGGAAGCGTGCAAAACGCATTCTCCCTCTGCTTTCCTGGATCTCCTGTAGTATCACCATATGCTCTTGTATCTAGCAAATCTGGGAAGTTTCTTTCATTATCACTACCATCACTATTGACTACTCGTTTCTGCATTTGATTATCAACAATGGAGCCAAGCGGCATATTTTGGTTTACACCAATGGCATGCTTGCGCATTCCACGTTGCGGTACTACAGGTTTATAGGGAGGATGATGAGTAGCGGGCAATATTGCATAGTTATTGTTCCCAGAATTTCCAGGAGTTGTAGGATTATTATTAACATTTCCAAAAATATTGAATTGACCTGAGGTTGAGCTTGGACCAGACTCTGGCGTCGAGTCAACTCTATAAACAAGAAAATATACTTAATAATATATTTTGTAAAGTACTCAAGGCCAAAACTTAGAATTATAAAAAATTACAAACCTTAATTCTGAAAGTCGAGGTATGTGTAAGTCTGTATCATCTGATCGTATTTCACTACCAGTTTCAGATGTCCAATTAGAACTATCTGTAGGACTTCTTACAACATTTCCTATGCTTGGACCTTGCACTGCGCTTGCTGCTTTCCAACTCTTTTCTTCTTTGCCTATTGCTATTGTTGAAGGTGTAGGTGTTTCTACATCATCTTCATAACCAGGATCTTCATCTTCAGTATCTTGTGTTGGTACATGCAGGTATTTTCCACGCCGTTTGACTGGTTGTACCATTGCGACAGTAGGGCATGTGCTAGTAGGCGACGCACTCATACCATTAGTTACTGATGGTCTTGAAGCTTTGTGATTCATTTCTATCTTCTCATAGCTATCTTCACGTCTACTATTGTTTGTATTATTCCATCGTGGCGGACGACGTTTTTGTCTTCTAAAGAAGCAAACTGCTATCAAACATGACCCTGTCACAAATATTATGGCCAATATTAGTGTTGCCATAATCATTTTTCCTGACAGAGGTGCATCCGGTGGTTTTCTAGAAACTGCTAATGTTACGCTGGCTTCAGCGCGCCCAGCTTTATTTTCAGCGGCACAAGTGTAGATACCAGCATCTTGTGCGTCAGCAGCTGTAATCGTTAAATCAATTTCATTGTCTTTTGCTCTAACAACATATGTTTTCTTTCCATGGATTGTTGTCAAATTTGCGATCACACGATTACGTAATGACCAACGCACGCTAGGTTCTGGTACTCCACCAATTCTACATCGCATTGTGATATTTCTTCCTTCAACTCCATGAGCTTTCGGATCTGGAGCCAAAATTTCTGGTGCACAAGCAAACTCATCTAACTCCAGTCTATCCCATGTTTTTCCTGACAGCCTTGCAGGAAACCTGCAGACTGGCGGAACATCACACGGAACGTTTTCATCAAGCATCCATTCCCGCAGAGGTCGTAGACTACATGTGCAATTCCATGGGTTAGAAGCTAATTCTATCCCGTGTAAGCCATGCAACATTGTGAGAGTAGATGACCTAACGTCTACCAAACGATTTCCGTCGAGTTTTAGCCACTCTAATGTATCCTCTAATGCAGCAAAAGCTCGTGGTTCTAATGTACTTATCCTGCAATCCGATAATTCTAATCGCACAAGTTGCGGAACTTTAACAAATGCCTCATCGGATATGCGTTGAATAGGATTTCCGCTAAGTTTCAATTCTCGCAATTCTGGTGTCGATTCTAATGCATTTGATGGCACTGTACTTAGAAGATTATAACCTAGATCAAGTTCGACAAGATTTGACAATTTTCTGAATGAAAATCTGTCTAGGGATCTCAAACGGCATCTGACTAAAAATATTTTTTGAAGATTCAAAAGTCCTGCGTTGCTGAAGGCTTCGCGTGTGATAGTTCCAAGATCATTGGCGGTCAAATCCAAAACCTGAACGTAATAGAAATAGTATAAAATAAAATTTATTCTAATAAACTTTTAAATCGATATCTTTTGTCATATATTTATAACTACCACGTACCTGTGTCCCTGCATCTAGTTTGGCTGGTATAGCAGACAAGTTAGCACCTTGGCAAAGAACAGTTTCTTTACCATTTTTCCATTTACAGTCGCACAACCGCGGACAATCAGATAAACAAAAAGTAATTATTGCAAAAATATTGAATATAAAAATTATAACATAATTTCTTGATAAGAGTTTCGACATTGCGGTATTAAATAGAATTTAGAGCTTTAAAATTTGATCAACTTTTTTTATATGTTAACAAATTTTGAAGGTTTTTTCAACGATACACCGGCAGGATCGTCTTCGTCTCCAGGAGTAACTTCATCCATTGTATCTGCTGAATGTCGAAGTCGTCTCATACCATTATCTGAAAGAGAAAAAATAACATTATTAGTAATATAATAAAGTAACCACTAATATAAAAATGCTAATTTTATGTTATAGCAACCCTATTCTTGTGCATAATTCTTCTCGATAAACATAGCTTTTGGGAGAATATCTAACACATCTCTTAATAGACTCAAAATAACGCTGATAGTTTCCACTTAGTTCTGGCAAATTATACTTTCGCCCGCGATGCATTTTCCCGACATGCTTAAACAATCTCAAATAGGGTGGTTTATGGTAACGCTTTGCGAGTAACGCCTTTAGTGAGTTTCTACATTTTCCATTTTCCGTTTGACTTGAATAAGAGACGTTAAGGAATCATACAACAAATGTTGAAGGGTTACGATCGTCTCGGTGTTGAAGGTTTCGTGCTTCGAATGACAATCGGCGAGGAAATTAATACGAGCGCCGCGCCCCTGCGTTTTATGCACACCTTCACCTGAAATTTAGGTTTATCTTACACTAGGGCTGTGAAAAAACCACGCATTTTGAAAAAATTATTTTATTAGGTGAAAGTAATTACTTTTCTCAGTCATTATTTTATACATAATAACTTGTATAAATATTTTACATATAATCTTGTTACCGGCGTTTTACAGTGATATTCAATTATATTGTATTACAAAATACATCTCAATAAATATTGTTTAATTAATGTCTATGATCGTTGAAACTATCATTCCGGAAATTTCAATAGTAATTATGGGGCTTTGTTATGGCAACGCTACGCTACGCTTTTTTCTTTGCCTGAATTGGTAATAAAAACTGTCCAAATGCTATGTATTTGCTATTCGATTAGGCGTAGTTCTGATTCCGACGACAGTTTTTACTACCAATTTATATGAAGAAACACCTTAATATACCGTTGCCATAACAACGCTATGTTGCGGTCTACTATATCGGAGAATTGGCTCCTATATCTCGATAAAATTTATTAAATTGCCAAAATAAATATAGACAATAACCAACTTCGTTTTCTCAGAATCTGAAAAAAAATCTCGCAAAAAGGTTTTCTCATCTATAGATTGATATAATATAAAAAATCATAGAAAATTATTAATGATGTGTGCATAACGATATTTTCATACATATAAAAATAATGTACTAGTATAGTGCTGTATGTTCACGGCCTATGTAAACATATGATTTTAACTTGTATGTAAAATGTTACAAACATATTTCCAAAATTTATTGGTTATATTCATTTTATTTATTCTTTTCTATAAAAGTTTTAATTGAATCAGTCTAAAATCATTAACTTATTTAATTCTACGCATTTGATGTTTATATTTTTGTTTTATGTTAAATTATATTAAATGTTTATATAACCGATTTGTTAGATAATTTTAATCTTTCTTCTTTGTTTGAAACTCTATTGAACAAATAAAAATAGAGTAATGATTTATTCTGATTAATTAATTATCAATGTACTGCATAAAAATATGAAATCATAGTATAAAATGCTTTTACTTATCTTGTATGGGTTTTATGACACACATTATTTTATATAGAGTTTTGTAGATTAAATGAATTGCATTTTAAATTGATGCTTAAGAATATGAGGAAATGATTAATATAGATGATTTTTTTTATATTTTTTGTATCATCTATAAAAATATAAATACCTAGATATACATTTTTTATATTTGTAGATAATATAAAAAATGAATAAATAGAAAGAAATAGAAAATGTGATACTCAAATATATATTATTATTATTAATTAATTAATTCGGAATAAAACTTTTATATAAAATCCGTTTAGAAAAATTATAAAGAGACCATCATCTAACTATTTTTCAATTTCTCAATCGTGTATGAATATTATTAATATCCGTAATATTTTTTTGAATATAATTAATCACTTTCTATTATTTCAGAAATTATTCAATAGTATTTTATAGCATTTTCAAATATTTGTTGGATCAATAATAAGTAGATCGCAAGTTTTTTAATTAAATATATAATATTTGACAAAATGTGTCCTTTTCCACATCGACAGCCCTATTTTACAATGAACACAGTTATCACCCGACGACACTTCATTTTAATGCTTCGAACGCAACTCGGATTTGAATACGAGCGAAATTCGTTAGTGCAGCCGCTCGAGGATTTTGCGTGGCCATGATTTTGATCAACGTCATCATTAATATTCTCATAGAGTTTTCCTCGCGAGAAACCGTGAACTTTTCTCACCGAGCAAACGATAGCCTCATAAAAGCAATTCGGTTAATTCATACAAGTTCTTTTCCGAGAACAATTCGAACAATATATCCAAGTCAAAGTTTTGAACATGAGAACATTTATTTGGAGTTGTAAAATATCTGCTATTTACATAATTTTTTTGTAATTTATTTAAAACCTATTTCTGGTTGATATCTAATGATTCTACAAAATTAACACAATTACATTTGTTGACAAATGAAATAATTTATAATTATGAACTAATTTTATATACGTGCTTTGGAATATACATATTATATATGATTATGATTATGATTATTTATACCGAACTGCAAATTTGAAGATGTAAATCACGTCTTGTTACATTTTTCGAAATTCCAATATCTAATCCAATGTATCTTCTATCGAAATAGTTTCTTTCCTATCGTCGTGTTGGATGTTAGCAATGTCTTCCAATTTGTTGGGTAGTGCAATTGAACTCGATTGTTTCGTACTACTTAAAATATATTTCCTGATCATTGCTTTCCCGCTATCTTTTCTCAAAAATAATATAAAAATATACAAGAGAAATTTATACATTCAGAATATTTCAGTGAATGCGTAATTAGATTGAGCATTGAAAAATTTAATGCTCTTGTTAATTGATATATCAATCTTGTGATTTTATGTAATCAATGTAAAGGTCTCATAACGAAAATTCACATAATTACTCTTTCAAATTATCACGAAAAACGTAAAAATAATGTATATATCAGCGTCATTACTCTCCTCAACCGCCGTTAGGTATTACTTAAAGGGAGGAGGATCTAGAATGCTATGATTATACTTTCCTCCAATTTAGTGTCATTCGCTGTGTGTACATATGTATATATTTTAATCAATTTATGAAAAATCTTTGAATGAATAAAGCAGCATATAAAAATGTGTTTAAAACATGTAAAATCACCAAATGTTTCTGTCTTTTATCTATTTTTTTCTAGAGATTGGTGAATTTTATATTGAAAAAATAAGTTTAAATAGATTTTGGTATGCAATGCTTTAAGGCAGCCGACAATGAAGCTGTATTTCACGTTATCGTCACTGGTCGTTCAACGAAATTGGCTGCCAGCGCTTAGCACATTGCTCGGGATCAGATACGACCCGACTCTTGTTGCAAAATGGAATGTTTTCCTCGGCTTAGATTAGGGATTATGAATAAAAATAAATGACTTAAACTATTAAAAATAATATTTGTTATTTTACTTATTATACTTCTAAGTTTAGTATAAATTTTTCCAAATTTGAGATGCCAACACTCCGGTCAAATAGACCATAACATACAGTTGTTATGGCAACGCAATGTTACTCTCCTTTCTTATATAAATTGGTATAGTAAAAACTGTTAAAATGCTATATATTTGCTGTGCAATCAGACTTTCCACGCATAAAACCTAACTTCACGTATATGTTATAAATGCACAACAGAAAATGCAGTTATGATAACATACTTTTTGGCGTTTGTGCGTTTTTTAGGTTAGGAATTATAACTAAAACGCCTGACTGCACAGCAATTACCTACATTTCGAAAGTTTTTACTACCATTTTATATGAAGAAAGTAGTGTAACAGTCTTTGTTACCAAGGAATTGGCCCGTAAATCATTAAAATTACAAAAAAAATAATTAATTTCAAGCTTTATTTAAAATGTAGAGAAGTTTGTGCGTTTTAATAAGTTTGAAAATAGTAAAATTTTATTACTAATATTATTTAGTACATTTGATATTGATAATTTAATTAAAAATTAACGCATTTTGCATAGCAACTAAAACCATACCTTGTATGGTTGTCAAATAAATAATAATGTATATTGTTTTGATTTATTTTATCGATTTCCATCAGTATACCTATTGAAAAGGTCTTTTTATAATGGAAATACTAAATAACAATACTTAATTTATAACTATACTAAAACTATATTAATTAGTAATTTTATCCTATAAATTTTCCAAAGGCCTTCTGAAAAAATACGTTTTCATTCAATTAAAATAATTTATACTAAATTCTTTTAATACTAATTAATATTTATAATACAATTTGTTATGATGAACTATTTTGCTTATTTTAATCTAGAAGATATGCGAATTAAAATAATTTGATTAAACTAATTGTCATCTGAAGATTAGATATTCATCTCTGACAAAGAATAAGCTGAAGAACATATGAGAAAATTACAAAACATAAATAAGGAGCTTTACCATTAACACTATCTGTCTTTAGTTCTGCATTTTCCTCAGGGCTGTGCCAGATATTATATATCATATCGAGTGGATATTTATTACCGTAAGATAAATTATGATGACAGAAAGGTTATTCAAGGCCTGAAAATATATCCCAGGCCATAAACGAAAATGGGGTTAGAATATGCAAGGATTATATATAAAATGTGGTATTTATTTAAATATAAGCGCGTCGCACGCCTATATTCATTCGCGAATGAGAATAATAAAAAATATAATATGCTAAGATGATAATAATGATATAAAGCGTTTGAAAGTATGAGGAAATAAATATTTTATTAAATAAAGGTTACAGTAACGCGAGAATACACTTGATTTAAATCTTTTAGAAAGATGTTTTTTTGTATTCTTTAATAAATCTATTACAAATCAACAATATTATTTATTTACTAAAAATTAGAGATAAAGAGCACACAGAGTATTCTAATATAATAAAAAACATTATCTAACAATACTTGTCATAGATATGAAGAGAGATTTAATTCATTAAATCATTTAATTCATATTCACTAAATATCATAT